AGAGATGGATCAAATCTCTTTTTCACTGTAAGTATTGGTCAATTCAGTAGGGTTATTTTATGTATTTTTGTTTTCCTTCTATAGTCCTACTTTTAAAAATATTTCTCAATGTTCCTTTTTCTTAGAAAAAAGAGTCAGAATTATAATTAAATTGTTTAAATTTTTTAAAACTGTCACAGTTTTAAAAAAACCCAATAAAAGAGTATTCAACAGTAAAAAAGTAAAATAAAATGCCCCCCCCACACACACACACATACTAATACTCTCTTCATCATTTCCTGATATAGCAAGAACCAAGAAACAAAGATCAGCTGACTGTCATCCTGGACAGCATGCAGGATTGGCAAGTAGCCAGCACTGATTAAAACCATTCTTCCCAGTCATTAGGAATATAGGTCAGCCAACTCTACCCATCTCCACTCTTAGGCAAAAGAAATGGGTAGGACAGTGTTTCTCAATCTCAGCAACTTTAAGATGTGTGGACATCAACTGCCAGAAATCCCCAGCCACCATAAAGTTGCTGAGGTTGAGAAACACGGGGGTAGGAAGTACTGGCAGAAACCCTGGCTGTTCAGCACCAAGACAGCAGCTAGAATAAATGAGCCATGTTCTACAAAGCTAGGGTAGGAGCAGAATTAGAAGAATCCAACTGGTCTACCAAAAGATTGAAAGAAAGAAGAGGAAAATAGTCAGAATGAGCCAAGTTGATCCCACCAAGAACCATCTGCAAACACGGCAAGGGTATCATCTTTTGTTTTTCCATGTTAATGAAAGTACAAAGATATAACGTATGCAAAATCAGAGATGATATGAAAACTATCCTTCAATAGTTCCTTTAAGGAGACTATTTCAGAACACCTGAATTCCTCAGGATCCATCAGCCAGCTTCTCTTGGATATATGCATACTGGTTTTACCAAACCAAAGACAAAGATCTGTCTCTAATCTAAATAAGATACTGCAAGTCTACAACCCTTACACACTGACATAGATATTTAGACATTTTCAAAACTCAGTAGTATCTTAGTACTCTTCTTTTTTCTTCCCTCTTCACGTGCACACCCATTTATTTCTCTGTGATATCCTAAAGATTTTAGTGGTGAGTTCCATAACATAGTGGGCAGGGACAATTCTTTGAATTTTTCCTAAATATTTGGCATATCACCATTCCTCCAAAAGAACCAGCATGCCTATTGTAGATGTATAGCAAGGGAAAAATGGGAAGAGAGCCCACATGGAAGCATGCATGAGGCAAAATAATATAATTTCCAAATTCTGATGTTGATATTTAATATCTGCAAGAATAATTACCAAAGTCTATGTACAGGGAAGAAAAAAAATATGTCAGGGTATTTTAATCCATTCTCCCCTACAGAAGTGTTCCTATCTCACTCACCCCATGCCTGACTGATTCTTTTAAGTTGAATATTTTCACACACCTCCATATCCAAAAGTCATTCACAAAAACAGTCTCCTTAGAATTGGCCTTTGATGAACTTGTACAAATATATTCACACCACCCATGTGGAAAAAATGTATACATATGTTCTCTTACATATAAATATCTTACTCTTCAGAAAGTTATGAAGTTTGCTAACTTAAGATGTAGTGTGGGACATCAAGGATAGATAGACTGGAGATAAGATAAGGCTATAAATGGCTAATAAATATAATGGTTCTATGTTACTTCCAGGATCAGAAAAAGTTTTTTGTTTGTTTGTTTAATTAACTGCTTTGAGTTGACTGGGCCAAAGGGCAGAGCACAAATCAAATGAAAATAATAAACGGTTTCTGAACACCAGTTGCTGGGAAACAATAACAGGAAGAAGCAGTTCTCAAGGATATTTAGTTAGTATTTATGTATAGGGTTTGTTTTATGGTGGATTTTTATGGATTGAGTAATTTAATTA